TCATAAATGTGTCGACTCTTAACCACTTCTCAGGTATGGGTCGGATGTCTGTGTAATCGAGTTCTTCGGGAAAGCCATAGATATTAAGATACGGCGAGTCTGGAAGCGCTTTATCAACCCTTTGATCAAATCCCTGCTCTTTTATAAATTCATTGTATTTAACATTTCTGTTATTAATCATCATTTGTTGCATCTTTTCCTTCAGTGCTTTCCATTCACTTCTATCGCCATTCACTGCAAAACCTGACAACAAAACGGCAATTAATTAATTAAACAACAGCTCATTTCACACCACAATAAACATGACTAACCGGTGGCACCGGGAGGCAGGTTGTCGTCGGGCATTGCCATCAATGGATTTTGACTGTAAACAAAAACCCACGGCTTGTTTGAGTAGATGAGTGTCGGCGATGGCGAGAATTCGCTGACCACAGAGACGTCCGGATTATGTTTGGCCACAATAGCCCTCAACATCGGCTCAATTACACGCTTTTTGGCAAACATATCGCCGGCGGCAGACTTTTGGGCCGTTTTCATCGACTCAGTCGACGACACGTTAGATATACGGCCCGAATTCAGCAACTCCTTGGCCATTGTCTCGCCGGGCTTTTTACGGCCACTTTCATCGGTAATCAGTATCTCTTCAGTGAATCCAAACGGCGCTAACCGGCCCTCAAAGGACTGATCGATAGCAAAGACTATTTTGTGGCCCCGACTCAGCAGTACTTCAGCCAAACCTATGCACGCATTCACGTGTCCCACAGCCTCTAACGGTGCGAATAATATGGTTAACTTTCGGGCCATTGATTGGTGTTTATTAACACGACTTATAATAATTAAAAGTATTGTTAAATATAAATGAATATATTTTCTAATAGGAAATAACATTTACTAATATCGCCTCATGTTTTAGAGTTTATATACTTTTGAAGTAAAAACAAATCTACGTTAATATTGCTAGGAATTTATGATAAAGTTAAGTATTTGCCCAAGGTTATATCGGCATAAATGCACTAACATTAATGTACATGTATGTGTGTTTGTGGTATGGTAACGCTTGCGTATAATTACATAGAGCTTGAAACTGTAGCTAAAATTGAGTTAACCATTGAAAATGTAAAATAATATTGCAGAATAATGTATTAAACAGTGTAATGCACTGTGCATTTACGACAACAATCAATATAACATTATGTAATATTTTGTGTTTATATTACAGGTATTTTATTAATTACAAGCAAAGTTGAATTAATTTGTATCTATTTAAAACATAAATTTATAAATGTAATACAAAATTAAATAATATAAATTCTGAAATAAAATCTGTGATTTAGTTTGGAGTTAATTTTGTTAAGAATTAATGATTAGATTTTAACTTATAGTCTATACACAAACTTTATTAAAACTTCAAAACTCATACAAACTTCAAATCGCAGCGCAAATTAGCCAAAAGTTCTGTTAATTAATAAAATTGCAATTTGTTCAAAATTAATTTGACAGAAAACAAATAAAACTGCATTTAAACGCATAGAATCAGTGCTAAAGCGTTTTGTACTCTAATATAAACAGAGATGATTGAGTACAGATCAAGGTTTTTAAACAGATTAAGATACATTATAATTATTTTCCGATTGGCCAATTATGTTACCACGTTTTAGCATTTAGTGCATTAAGCTGTAAAGTATTCATATTTGATATTTACATGAATTTAGTGTATACGTAAAAGATCTAGATTTGTACCCAACATTTATACTATGTCCAAGAAAAGAAAATGACTTTACTTAAAGAATTATCATTTTATTTTAGTACATGTATATTATATGTCAATCAAGTTTGCCAAAACATATTGATCTGTGATAACAATCAATGTTATTTGGTATAAATACTAAAGCATTTCGAAGCAATTCAACCATATTTTCCAAAAACTGTGAAATACATTATTATATTGTAAAGTCTTTATTAATAATAATTTATTAATTATAAAAATGGTACAAAAGTTAACGATATTGTTTGCGCCGATGGATGGTGTGGGACACGTGAATGCGTGCATAGGTTTGGCTGAAGTGCTGCTGAGTCGGGGCCACAAAGTGGTGTTTGCTATCGACCAGCCCTTTGCGGGAAAGTTATCGCCGTTTGGTTTCATCGAAGAGACATTCACTTCAGAAGAAACAAATGGTCAAAAGCCGGGAGAAAATGGTGCCAAACATTTGCTGGCGTCGGGTCTTCTCTCAGACGTAACGTCTTATAAATCGGCGGAAATTATGCAAAGTTTGCCGTTTTTTGAGATAATTGTGAACAAAATGCGAGCCAATGAACCACAGCTTAAGGCAATTATAGCCAAACATAATCCCGATGTGTATATCATCGATGACTTCGCAGCCTCTCCGACACTAATCCACTCAACCAAACCCTGGGTTTTTCTGTTTAGCGGAAATCCATTGTTTGTCATCAATGATGAGAGGACTCCTCCCGGGACGTCGGGTCAGTTGTTTTGCAATTTATATTAAATAATCGTTTAATTAGTTTTAAATTTATGACTTTAGGTTATCATTCAAACGGCGATCAAAAGGAATGGCAAATATTCAGAGAATTGTCAAAAGATATGTTTAAAAAGTTAAACATTAAGTACAATGAATGGATGAAAGAGGAAGGATATCCCATAAACACTGAAAATAAAGGCATTTCGGACTCGCCTTATCTTAATATCTATGGATATCCCGAAGAATTGGATTATTTAGATCTCAGACCACTTCCAGAAAAATGGTTAAGAGTCGACGCATTCATGAGAAGAGGAGAGAAACAAGAGTTTAAAATTCCCGATAAATTCCGTGACAGAGATATTGAGAAAAGTAAATTAATTTACTTCTC